CCTCTCACTGAGGGTACTCACTATACCCTCTCACTGAGGGTACTCACTATACCCTCACACTGAGGGTACTCACTATACCCCCACACTGAAGAATTTTGTATCGCTGGTTGGTTTGTGTACTCAGTTTCCTAGTGTAAGTTAAAGATGCGTGTTCCTTTGAATGTATATGCGAACGTTTCTTCGAACTCGGCACATTTCTCGATTCTATTGTGAAGTGCAAAGCCACAGCTTAATGTCCTGACTTTTTTTTAATACCAGTTAGATGTTATTTGATGCATTCAAGGTGTGTAAATGTGTGTGTGTATGTGTGTGTGTGTGTGTGTGTGTGTGTGTGTGTGTGTGTGTGTGTGTGTGTGTGTGTGTGTGTGTGTGTGTGTGTGTGTGTGTCTGAAAGTTGTCACGTGCTCTGCTGAACTATACACTTGTGAGTGTGTGTGTGTCTGAAAGTTGTCACGTGCTCTGCTGAACTATACACTTGTGAAAGTGGCCCCAAACCTTTGGCGTAGGAGCTAACGAGGCAAGGTCACTCTGCTCCCCAAGACACGTTATGGAGATGAAGCTCAAAAGGAAGTTTGATGTACCATATTGAGTGAACGAGTCAGCCGTCACAACTAGAATCCGCCAACACGCTCTGAAAATGGCAATTCATCTGCTGATAATATTATCACGTGAACCGGTATGCTTTATCTCGTGAATTTGTAGAATTTCGTACTTTCCACTTTCTGATATTGTCTTTCTAAAGAAATCTTTATTGTGCAGGCGACGAGTCACAATAACGTGGCTTAAGTATGTTGACCAAACCAGACACCAGAAGATGAAGGGACGACGACGTTTCGATCCGTCCTGGACCATTCTCAAGTCGATTACAATCGACTTGAGAATTACAATCGACTTGAGAATGGTCCAGGACGGACCGAAACGTCGTCGTCCCTTCACCTTCTAGTGTGTGGTCTGGTCAACTCCCTATTGTGCTTACTACTTATGGTAATATTACAGTTTTTATATATTGGGGTTACAATTTATAACATTAATGAATTTAATTAAATTTGAAATTTCACAATTTAGATGTAGCGTTGATCGACATTGTTGCTTCAATGCAATGCCCAAACTCACGCAGGCAAACAAACAAAAATACCAATGATTGTCAAGTCTAATGATGCCAAAATTCGAGTTTAATCAGTGTAGTAAAATAATGTTTACAGTCGCTTGACAACTGCTCTGGGACGTGCTTAAGGGGCCATTAGTTGCACCCAACAAGCTAAGAACAAGTCCTGCTTAACAATCTTGTTTTTTTCAGACTTACATAAAGACGTACTGCCCATTTCTCCCTCCGAGGCCGGAGTCTGAGCGCCCCACAACGATGTTCCCCACCAACAATGTAGATGTCATTGAGGAGACGCCAAGCGTGAGGAATCTTTTGGGCGCCTTCAACCTCGGCGCTTCCACTTGACGTTTGAAGAGATGTTAAAGAGGCACAAAAAATAACTTTCTTTTCCATGACGTTTCTTCTCATAATGAAAATATTACAATCATCTTTACAAACATGTTGCTACACATTTTTTTTTGGGTGTATCTCTATTAACTGTTTCTTCGACTTGCTATAATTTTTTTTTTTATATTGAAGCTAAATAAAGAATAATGATAAACTATTTTTATTTTGAGTAATTTGTGGATTACTTTCCCCATTATGAATAGGCAAGAGTGTAGTAAGAGCGAGAAGAGTGCAAGAGAGACATCATTAAGATCTGGTGGATGCTGCTGGCTCATCTGGCCTCCAAGGCTGTCAGCATCTCTGACGTGTTGTCCTCTGCTCTCTCTCTCTCTCTCTCAAAAAAAAAAAAAAAAAAAAAAAAAAAAATTCATTCACAAATGCCATCTCTCTCTTGGCCTTACGGCCTGTTCTCACTCTCTTAAGTTACCCACTTAGTGCAGGTTATCGTTCATCATTTAATGTTATATAAATAAATTACCATAAAATTTCTGATAAAACCAATTCAGAATATCTCAAATGAGTTTCATATAGGCGTTTATTTTGTCAAGCAAGGTCAATGGCTGGGTAGAGAGTGGAGGTTGTGCAGTGCAGGAGAGCTGGCAGCTCTCAGCTGGCAGCTCTCAGCTGACAGCTCTCAGCTGACAGCTCTCAGCTGACAGCTCTCAGCTGACAGCTCTCAGCTGACAGCTCTCAGCTGAGAGCTGACACTTGGTGGGGATGTCATCCTTGACTTCTCGTTCTGGGAGACATGAAGCCGTTAGGCTTATCCAGGTATCCCTTACCAACACTTGACATTCGACGTTATAAGTCTTATTCTTTTATTTTGCATTATTACTAATTATTTTTGTATCTGGAGCGTACCTGCAGAGGGTTTCGAGAGTTCTACTCCTCGAACCCCGGTTTGTGGCTAGGCTCGACTCGTGATAACTTGGTCCAACAGGCTCTTGCTTGGAGCTGCCCGCAGGCCCACATGTTCACTATTCAACCCGGTTGGTTCGGCACTTCTAATTACTTCTAATTTCTAATTCATTTCTAATTTCAAGCATTTCTAATGCTGGGAGAGTATTGAACAGCCGTAGCCACTGTTGTTCAGTGCTCTCTGATTGTGCCTGTATTTAAGCTAGCTTATTTATTTCCGTAATTTACTCCTTTGTAAATTAGAATAAAAGAGTTTATTTACATACTTATATATTTAACTACCTTTGATTTAGTGATAGCAATTTACTAATAATTTTATTATTTTCCGTTAGCTGAAGTTAGTTTTAGTTCAATTATTATGCACCCCATACCCATCTTGTGGGCGGTAGTGGAAAGGGTTACAGAGGCACATAATGGGCTCAGGGACTGAGCTGAAGAGTGTGGTATATGTGAGTCCAAAGGTTTACCATTTCTAAACTTTAGTGTTGTCACAGGTCAAGGCTGCAAGTACCCTCGGCAGCGTGCAATTTTCTCAACCACTGATTACAAAACTGATTTACTCAGCGACAGACACTGCCAAAGTTCACTGTCTGTCAACATACTGACAATCTGAGACGGGAGTTGACAGACTTCTCCCACAACAATATTTATTTTGCTGTAATCTGTTTAGGATGTTTTCTGAGCTTGACAAAACCAAATACTCTGAGAACATGAACAATCCAGCGGGTTGGGGAGTGTTGTACATGCTGCTATGGCGGTGTGTCCACTCACAGGATGAGTGGCGCTGCCCAATACTGTCACTATGGTGGTGTGTCCACTCACAGGATGAGTGGCGCTGCCCAATACTGTCACTATGGTGGTGTGTCCAGTCACAGGATGAGTGGCGCTGCCCAATACTGTCACTATGGTGGTGTGTCCACTCACAGGATGAGTGGCGCTGCCCAATACTGTCACTATGGTGGTGTGTCCACTCACAGGATGAGTGGCGCTGCCCAATACTGTCACTATGGTGGTGTGTCCACTCACAGGATGAGTGGCGCTGCCCAATACTGTCACTATGGTGGTGTGTCCACTCACAGGATGAGTGGCGCTGCCCAATACTGTCACCATGGCGGTGTGTCCACTCACAGGATGAGTGGCGCTGCCCAATACTGTCACTATGGTGGTGTGTCCACTCACAGGATGAGTGGCGCTGCCCAATACTGTCACTATGGTGGTGTGTCCACTCACAGGATGAGTGGCGCTGCCCAATACTGTCACTATGGCGGTGTATCCACTCACAGGATGAGTGGCGCTGCCCAATACTGTCACTATGGTGGTGTGTCCACTCACAGGATGAGTGGCGCTGCCCAATACTGTCACTATGGCGGTGTATCCACTCACAGGATGAGTGGCGCCGCCAAATAAACTCGCCCTTCAGGGCAAAATAAAAAGCAGATACCAAGGGTTTTTTAATTTCGACTATCTTTGTCCCTTCGTCTACATATCTTCTTCCTTCCTCGTATTCTTCTCCTTCTAAATTGTTTTGTAACATTTGTCTTTTGATTCTTTCTACCTCATTCAGCATCCGCTAGAAGCGCTTGTTACATCCGTTCATCTGCGTCACATTCCTCTCCCTTCAAGATCTCTCACACAGGCGTCCAATATGTCCTCCATTAACCCAGAGAGTGCACAAGTTGCATCACTGATCACTGTCAAGCCATTTACGCGCCTCAACGATCCTCAGAGTAATCACTTTATAACAAACCACAAACTAAACGCTGCAAAATGATTCCGTTGTGTACTCTAATATTACATTTGGTTATTTCGCAGTACAGTGTTATCTTGGGATGATAAAGACTCCTGTAAGTTGTCAGTCACTAGAGGAAAGACAATGATCTTCCCAGAGTTATATAAATCTTCGACTACTGTTTATTATATCAGGGACCCACAGAAGGCTTTATAGTGCCGGATAGAGCTTGTGAAGGTAGTCCATCAAAGACAAGAGGCACTGAATCACAGCCTCCAGACTCGATAAACAACAGAAAACAATAATGAAACTCAGAAAAAGCTAACCAGAGAGGGAGTTTTACGTTCCCCACACGCAACTGCTTTTTTGTAAATGTTGGTTGTGGTGATTAATTGCTGACTTAATACTTCGTGTGAAGAGAAGCGATTTCATACAACCCTTGCAGGTGTAACATCTATTAAAGTTTCCTCCTTGTAGTTTTCTACTTACATTTAAATAAACACTTGCAATGAAAAGGGTAAACACCCATTTCCATCCAGTCAGGATTGGCTTTTAGTTCAGTATTAATATAAATGTAATAACAAGTGTATTTTCCTAAGAATGGAATGGAGAAGCCAGCGAGCGACTGCTGGAGTGGCCTCCACGTAGAGTTCCAAGCCAGGAAAAAACAGCTGCCTGTAATATTGTTTACATATTGATTTCAGGAAGAGTTATGTGGTTTAACGTTTCAGTGTAGTGAGCCTACGTCACCCTGGCGCAGTGTTGGCGTATTACCAGCACTCCAATGCGTATGTGTGTTTAGCCTAGCCTCGGAGAGTGTTCATGTTTGTGTATCACCAATACATCGTTTGTGGCCCTTACCTTTGCTTGAGTGGCGAAGCAGTCCACAAGAGAAGTCGGGAAGTAGAGATATGCTACACACACATATCACTGCAGGTCTTCAGGTGTCTTTGTTCCAGCTTAATTTCCAGGTAAGGGGAGTCCAAGGCGCCCAGATTGTGGGCTCTGCACCTGCTGCCCAACCACCAACACTCGCGTATAATTCCTTCTGTTCGCACTACTCAAGTTGCCACACGAACAACAAGCTTTTTAGTTTTGTTATTTCTCATTCTGAAGTTACACTAGAGCGTCACACTTCCACGTGTCGATTTAACATATTTTGTGTTTAAATTTCATACTGAAATACAAAGAACTCCGGGTTTGGTTACAATAATTTGTATTCGGTTAAGATGCCGTAGTTATCTCTGGCGGTGACACACGCGAGGAAGCGAGGCGAGATCGCGGCTCGGGGTCGGGAGCGATACAGAGTACGTGTTACCCGGGCCGCGGTCAGAGGCACACTGAGGAGGGGGGGCGGGGTTCGGGCGGGCCGCGGGCGGGCACAGCGACTCCCGCGGCAACACAATCACTCCTGCCGCCGCCGCCGCAGCCGCCACTACTACTACCATCACCCCTCGCTCCTGCGCCTCCTCTCTCACCCCCCCCACCTGCCCCATTACCCCCACTGCCCCTTAACCCTACCCCACCTGTACCTTCACTAACTCCCCCCCGCCTTCAACCCGTCCCCACCTGCCCCTAAACTCACCCGTACCCTTAGCCTCCCCCACTACCATTACTTGCCCTGGTAGAGTACTAGCTGGCAGCCAGCAGCCCTGGTAGAGTACTAGCTGGCAGCCAGCAGCCCTGGTAGAGTACTAGCTGGCAGCCCTGGTAGAGTACTAGCAGCCCTGGTAGAGTACTAGCTGGCAGCCAGCAGCCCTGGTAGAGTACTAGCTGGCAGCCAGCAGCCCTGGTAGAGTACTAGCTGGCAGCCAGCAGCCCTGGTAGAGTACTAGCTGGCAGCCAGCAGCCCTGGTAGAGTACTAGCTGGCAGCAAGCAGCCCTGGTAGAGTACTAGCTGGCAGCCAGCAGCCCTGGTAGAGTACTAGCTGGCAGTACTAGCTGGCAGCCAGCAGCCCTGGTAGAGTACTAGCTGGCAGCAAGCAGCCCTGGATTACTGGCAGCAAGCAGCCCTGGTTACTGGCAGCAAGCAGCCCTGGTAGAGTACTGGCAGCAAGCAGCCCTGGTAGAGTACTGGCAGCAAGCAGCCCTGGTAGAGTGGCAGCAAGCAGCCCTGGTGGCAGCAAGCAGCCCTGGTAGAGTACTGGCAGCAAGCAGCCCTGGTAGAGTACTGGCAGCAAGCAGCCCTGGTAGAGTACTGGCAGCAAGCAGCCCTGGTAGAGTACTGGCAGCAAGCAGCCCTGGTAGAGTACTGGCAGCAAGCAGCCCTGGTAGAGTACTGGCAGCAAGCAGCCCGGTGGAGGAGAGCAGCCGCCAGTGCGCCACAACAACACTCTTAGAGGTTCAGCCTCTTAAGGTGGTGGGGCAGAGCGTGGCCGGCGCAGGTCCAGTGGCCGCAGCAGGTATGATAATGGCTGCCGCGGGGCTGTGACCTCCACATCTCGCGCCTCCCGCCCTCAGCCTCCACCCACCGTCTCCACCCTCCGCCTCAACCTCCACCCTCAGCCTCCACCACCACCGCTCATCATCTACCGCCTCCACCCTCAGCGTCCATCTACTGCCTCCACTCACCGCCCCGCCGCCCACCCAACACCGCTAACAGAAGACTCCGCAAGTGTTCGCTTTGCTCCCGTGTTACCTGGGGGGCAGGAAGGAGCTCGAGTGAGTGCTGGGAGTGCTCAGCCAATACGCATTATGAGGAGTCCAAACCATGTCTTACAGTGTTGAATACACAACCTTCTTATCATCCTGATAGAGAGCAGTATATTCCAGTCAGCGTGCGAGTGTGTTTGCTTAACTCTGGCTCAAGGAGAATTACTGGTTTCAAAAAGCTAAGATCGTACGTCTCTTCAGTGTGAAAAAGTTTTTGTCAATATTCTAATTAAATGTGCAAAGGAGAACATGCTTCAGGGTTACAAGCAATAGATAAAGATAATATATATATATATACATATACACACACACATATATACACGGAGTCGGCTGAATTTGTAAGTAAGAGGAGTGTGAGAGGCAGAACACTCCCTCACACCAACACGAGGCCTGCCACTCACACTGTCAACTGTGACAATAGCAGAGAGCATCGCAGATCATCCATGGGGTTCGTCTCATTTGAGGAGCAAAGCTGGCACCGGAGGCTGACAAGAAGCTCTTGCCTGTCAAGGGGGGGAGGGGGGGGATCACCGCTGCGTTCACAGCATAAAGGTGAAAGTTCGCTGGTAAGCTACAGAATTGACGACGTAAACGACATCGTTGCATAAAAGTTTTGTCGGTGTTATTTTCATGAATCGAAATTTAAAATGTCCTGTGGCAGAGTGTCGTTGATTCCCTGTGCTCTATGTACTGACCATTGTTCACTATATTGTTTGCTGTATTTGTTCAACGTATTTATATTATCCAGTGTATTTGTTCAACGTCAGTCCGAGTTATATGCATGGGGTATTGTTCACTGTAAGTGTTCAACATTACCCTGGGCAGTGTTCACCATATTTGTTCACCGTTACCCTGGGATATGTGTATGGGGGCATTTTTGTCGGTGTATTTGTAAAGTTTTGTCCCCGTACCTTATATACAAAACAACTAAACTGAACACTATCCCCCATTGTTCAATGTTATCCCCCACTCAATGCATGGGGGGAAGTATTTAGTATATTTGCTCGGTTTGGCAATGCATTGTATGCTGGGGGAACTGTCCATTGCCACCCCCGAAAATACAGCGAGAGGTATTGTTCAGTTTATTTGTTTCTGTATTATAGTTCAGCTTGAAAAAATATTAATCGGCTTTGAGAGATCAATTGAATGACTGTTGTATGTACATGACCTAATGGTTGTTGTTGTGCTGCTCTGTCACTGTACTAGTTGTTCTGTCACTGTACTAGTTGTCCTGTCACTGTACTTGAGTCACTGTACTAGTTATTCTGTCACTGTACTAGTTGTCTGTCACTGTACTAGTTGTCCTGTCACTGTACTAGTTGTCCTGTCACTGTACTAGTTGTCCTGTCACTGTACTAGTTGCCCTGTCACTGTACTTGAGCTGCTCTGTCACTGTACTAGTTGTTCTGTCACTGTACTAGTTGTCCTGTCACTGTACTAGTTGCCCTGTCACTGTACTTGAGCTGCTCTGTCACTGTACTAGTTGCTCTGTCAGTACTGCTCTGTCACTGTACTAGTTGTCCTGTCACTGTACTAGTTGTCCTGTCACTGTACTAGTTGTCCTGTCACTGTACTAGTTGTCCTGTCACTGTACTAGTTGTCCTGTCACTGTACTAGTTGCCCTGTCACTGTACTAGTTGTCCTGTCACTGTACTAGTTGCCCTGTCACTGTACTAGTTGTCCTGTCACTGTACTAGTTGTCCTGTCACTGTACTAGTTGTCCTGTCACTGTACTAGTTGTCCTGTCACTGTACTAGAGCTGCTCTGTCACTGTACTAGTTGTCCTGTCACTGTACTAGTTGTCCTGTCACTGTACTAGTTGTCCTGTCACTGTACTAGTTGCCCTGTCACTGTACTTGAGCTGCTCTGTCACTGTACTAGAGCTGCTCTGTCACTGTACTAGTTGTCCTGTCACTGTACTAGTTGTCCTGTCACTGTACTAGTTGCCCTGTCACTGTACTAGTTGCCCTGTCACTGTACTTGAGCTGCTCTGTCACTGTACTAGAGCTGCCCTGTCACTGTACTAGTTGCCCTGTCACTGTACTAGAGCTGCTCTGTCACTGTACTAGAGCTGCAATGTATTAGAGCTGCGTGAAGGCGGGGTGGGCGTGGAGGCGAGGTGGGCGTGGAGGCGAGGTGGGCGTGGAGGCTAGGTGGGCGGGGAGCGAGGTGGGCGTGGAGACGAGGTGGGCGTGGAGGCGAGGTGGGCGTGGAGGCGAGGTGGGCGTGGAGGCGAGGTGGGCGTGGAGGCGAGGTGGGCGTGGAGGCTAGGTGGGCGTGGAGGCTAGGTGGGCGTGGAGGCTAGGTGGGCGGGGAGGCGAGGTGGGCGGGGAGGCGAGGTGGGCGTGGAGGCGAGGTGGGCGTGGAGGCGAGGTGGGCGTGGAGGCTAGGTGGGCGTGGAGGCTAGGTGGGCGTGGAGGCGAGGTGGGCGTGGAGGCTAGGTGGGCGTGGAGGCTAGGTGGGCGTGGAGGCTAGGTGGGCGTGGAGGCTAGGTGGGCGGGGAGGCGAGGTGGGCGTGGAGGCTAGGTGGGCGTGGAGGCTAGGTGGGCGGGGAGGCGAGGTGGGCGTGGAGGCTAGGTGGGCGGGGAGGCGAGGTGGGCGTGGAGGCGAGGTGGGCGTGGAGACTAGGTGGGCGTGGAGGCTAGGTGGGCGTGGAGGCGAGGTGGGCGTGGAGACGAGGTGGGCGTGGAGGCGAGGTGGGCGTGGAGGCGAGGTGGGCGGGGAGGCGAGGTGGGCGTGGGGAGGGAAGAGAATGAGAGCAGTGGGGACGGGATCCACAACGTAAAGCGGTTCAGGTCGGGTAAGAACAGAGAAAGTCGGCCAATCCACTCATTTCCCCAGACTCCTAGTGGTGCTGGTGGTGGTAATAGACAGGATGATGGTGATGATGATTGTGATGATGGTGAGAATGGTGATAGTGATGATGATGATGTTGATGATAAAGATGAAAACACTCATCTCTTATCCAGAATAAATAGTAAGAGTTTATTTTATTTCGCTGTGATTGGAAATTCATGATTGAATTCAGTATGATAAGATTTTGGGTAAATTGATTAATGCCGAGTGTATCTAGCTTCACAGTGTCCTGGCACTACACTGTATGTGTGTACCTAGTGTTGAGGGGCAACGGTATATTACTTAGTGGTTACTGATGGTTCAGTCCCTGAGCCCATTATGTGCCTCTGTAACCCTTTCCACTACCGCCCACAAGATGGGTATGGGGTGCATAATAAATGAACTAAACTAACTAACTGATATACAGACGATGGGAGGCTGGTTGCCTTAAGAGGTTATTACTGAAAAGTCATTTCGATGTTGTATTATGTGGCCGAGAACACAGGAATAATTGAAACTGAAAAAGACCTTTTGGCCCGTCACGAAGCAGCTCCTGTTTATAGGCAAACTCATTCATATGTCTAACTTACGCTCGAAACAATATAGCGATCCCAAGAATATGTTGTTACACATCAGTTTGTTCCATAATTCAGAAACCCTGTTTCCAAACCATTATTTACCCAGGGTCTTCCCGTGTATCTAAACTTATCCAGTTCATATCCACTGTCTCGAGTTCTATTTACCAATTACGTACTGTGACACAGTGCCCATTATTACATTAAGGAGTACGATAACATGGTTCTGGGTAATAAAGTGAGCAGCTTGGAGTATTTGATGTTGAGTAAGTGCATAATTGATATCCGCTACGCTGTTACAT